GAAAAAAAATGATTAATTTTGTTTTGTTTGATATGAGATACATGATGATGAGTAGAAATAGTGGAAAATCAAACTAATAATAGTCATAATATTATTGTTGATCTAATTTCAAGGACATATTGGTCAGTCAAAATAGTGAAAGTTTTCATTATTATCATTAACTTTGAATACTCTCTTATTATCTATATATATCGTTTGTTCATGGTTCGTTTGATCTTGATATCATCATCATTTGACAACAACAGAAAAAAAAATCAAAGAATCGATCAATCGATCTTTTTCAATTTCGATGTAAACAAGTAGGTGGCCCTCATTATCATCATCTTGTTTCATCAATCGGAAAGGGGCTAACTTCGACAACTTGTTGTTGTTGTCAAATATCGTCGTCTTCAAAGTGTCACACAAAGTGTTTTGGTTACATTTTTGGCCAAGGTCATCTAATGTAAATTGATTCGAAAAAGGTTTCTTTCTTCGGAATGACGAAAAAAAAACATTTCATTGTGGTTAAACACACATACATAATTAGCTCTATATATTTTCTTCAAAGAAAAATCCATAAACAGTTAATTGATTCAGATGAGCGAAAACCCTTTCACTTACTTGCTTGCTGTGTATGTCTAAATAGTCTAATGATGACCGGTCGGTTGTAACCAAACCAACAAAAAAAAATGTTTCATTTGTCATTTTGTAGTTATTATTTTTGTTGTTGTTGTTGTTACTATTTCGTTTTCCTTCATTTGATTGATTTTGACAGGCACCATGAAAATGAAAAAAAATATACAGGACTTACGCTGAGAATTTGTTGAGAATTTGAAAGGAAAAAAATTGCTAGACTTTTGGCTAGACGAAATCGATAGATATTTTTGTTGTTGTTGTTGTTGTCTCTCTATGTCATTCGTCTTCGTTGTCGTTTTGCTTAAATAGATCAAATTCTGATCGATCGATCCAGATCTTATCTTGTAGTTGAAAAAACGAAACAAAATCCAATCGCTTTTTTCGACCAATTTTGAATTTTCAGAAAAATTTTACAAGAAAAAATTCCAAATAAAACTTTGTCATTTTTTGCGATACAAATGTTTGTGTTTTCATGAATGAATATCATTTTGTTGTGTCACATTTGTGATGTGAAAAGAAGAAAAAAAATTCACACTTTTTTTTTGCTGTTCACAGTGGCCAAAACAAAATGTTATAAATAAGATGTGAAAACAGTTTTCATTTCACAGAATTCTTTCCGACTTTTTTTTTATGACCCAACCAATAAAGTGGAAGAAAAATAAAAAGCGGATTTTTCTTTTTTGTCTTCAAAGTCGCGTGTCACAACACTGTTGTCACTTTGTCATCGGGTGTATATTACCGCTATCTATTTTTTTATTGATTTAAATATAGCGGTAATATTCACATGGTTCAATGTTGGTGGCGGTGGTCTATTTTTTTCTCCTTCTCTTCGAGCTTACGTGCGCAGTTGGTCATTTGATTTTTTGCCGACATCATTAGCTTTTTAAAATTACAATTTCTTTTCCAATGAATTATGTAATTGAAAAAAAAACTGATGATGATTTCCACAATGATCAATTTATCCGGTGTGAGTTGTAGTAGGTAGGAGTGGATTGAAAAAGCAAACAACAGTTGTCGATAATCGATTGACTTACTAATTTTCATTCTTATGAATGAAAAATCGAATTTGAATTTTTCCGAAGAAAATGGAACCGATTGACGACCCTGAATTGAAAAAAAACTGAAGAAAATCATTATAAGAAGCGTAATCATTTTTTACTAAATAAAGTGAAAAGCGAAAAATTGTGTGTTTGTTTGTAAGGAAAAAAAAACAAGCCGCTCAGGAACAAACAAACCTGAAGAAAAAAAAGATCGCCGGCATTTTTTTTCAATCATTCTTCTTCATTCGTGTTTTTTCTTTGTTTTGCGGTATTTTTTCGAAAATGAAACAACTGAACCAAACCTAACTTATTGATTGTTGTTGTTGTTCTGGCCTATGAAATGAACAAATAATAGCTTAAAGATGATGATGATTATGACGATGATTTCTTCAAGTGATGATGATGATGATGACATGTTAAATGGCTAGGCCCCAACAAGATGTTGTTAGAGAGGCCCATCATCATCATCGGTCAATCATCATTATGATTATCATCAGGTACATATGTATAGTACCATATAGGACACAACGACTGCTATATCTATGGACCATAATTATCCACAAATTATATATGGGTTTTCAAATGTTTAAAAATTTTTTCTTACCTGTAATCTTTTCTTTTTCCTTGTCTCATTTTTATTCTGATTATTTTAATGACAAGTTTATCACGTTGTTGTTGTTGTTGACAGTTTTGAAATATTTCTTTTCTCTTGATTGCTTCACTTGTTAATTGATTTTTGAATCATTCAAAATGTTTCAAGAAAAAAAAAATTAATGAAACATCATCCGCATCATTTTACCAAAATTATCTAGTTTTTCAAAAAAATAGCCATAAATTTCCTTCAAGCATCTTTTAACAACAACAACCGAAAAAAAATGATGGAGAGACTTTCTTCCGAATATAACAACAACAAAACAGCCATTTTTTTCTATAGAAATTCTCTAACAAACTATAGCCAAAAAATGACATGCTGTTCAATTTCTTAAGTTTTTACCTTATTTTTACCTTTTTTTTCTTTAAGTGTTTTTTCGCTTCGATTTGATTATTTATTAGTTTTTCTCGCTCGCTCGCTTTTCATTCATTCAATTCATTATTGCATGCCTTGTTGTCGTTCTTCTTAACTATCTTCTTCTTCTTTTTTTTCTGGTAGCTTCTTGTGATTCTTTATTTTGCATTTGATCGGTATTATTTATTTTTGCTTGTTGGCCATATAAGCCATGTGTCTGCCTTTTTAGTCAATTTTTTGTTTTTCACTGTCGAATGAAATGATAATTGCTCTTTGTTTTCGGACACGTTTTCTTTTTCTTGTTGTTTCGTTTCGGATAGAATTTGACCAATGCTACGGAGAATAAATAAATAAATGAATGAATGAATGAGAGGGAAAATTTGACCCGAAAATTTTTCGTTTTTTTTGTTTCAAACTTTCATGGAAATAAGAAAAAAAACATACCTGGCCTATTCCATATACGATTATAGATGATGATGATGAGCAAGACAAACAAGACGATGATGATGATGATGATGAGCCCATTCAACAAAGTTAGTTGATCGATCCTGTTCTTGTTGTTGTATTCGTTGAAGAATTCAATCTGTCCAAGTCATCATCATCATCATTGTTATTATTATGGCGGTTGTTGTTGTCGTTGATAATGCTCCCTGCTAGGTCTTTTTCGCACAAACTGATCTACCATTATCATCATCATCATGTTGTCTTCAAATGAAATGAAATGAAAATCGTAGACCAACGATGATGATGGCGATGATTGAGGTAAAAAATTGAAGATTTGGAATCAGCAGCAAAAACAACACTTGTTTACCTGTTTCTTACCTAGTTAGTATAGTTTTTTTTCGTTTTGATGATGATCATGGTTATTGGCTTTTTTCTTTCTTTCATTGATTCTTCAGTGTTTCGTTTTTCTTTTCTTTTCTCGCCACTTGTTCGTGACATTTAGAAATTCATGTATATCGTTTTTATGTATACACATGTAGAATGAATGAATTGAGAAATAAATATTGGAAAAAAAATTTTGAAAATTGGTTTTTTCTTCTTCTTCTTCTTCTTTACACACAAACACGAGGATAAAATATTGATCTATCATACTGAAAATAAATCGACCCTATGGTCTACCGAATCTACACATCACCGAAATTATTGTGAAGAAAAAAACATGCTGAGATCAGCCTTCCAATTTTTCATTTTTTTCAACCGTTGTTGTTGTTGTTGTTGTTGTGATTGGCAATCAAATGTCATGATCATCATCCATATCATTATCATTATGATGAACACAAAACAAAACAAAACAAAAAACTTTGACAAAACCAAAACAAAAAATAACGACAACAACATTCGATCGAATCTTTTCGAAGCCCCCCTTCAGAAAAAGGAAAACATTCGATTCTATTTTGAACCAAATGAATCGAATGAATGAAAATAGTTAACGAACGAGCAAAAACAACAAAATCCAAAATCACGAATCTTGATTTGATTTTTTTGGTTTTTCTCGATCCATAAATCTAATCTTCGGTTTTCTCTTCGAGAACAATTTTTTTCTCATTTATTTATTTAACACGAAATGAAATTAGCCATGAAAAATGCACGATCATTTTGCTGCTGTCGATGCTCATTTTTTGATCTTTTTTCGATCGATTTTTTCTCCCCCCGATCAAAGTTTATTTAGATAAATAATTAATTAATTTGATTCTTGTTATGAAAAAAAAACGATGATGATTATAATGATTACTACAACCCACCATTACCATCATCAAACAACAACAACAACCTGTTATCTTTGACTGATTTGATTTCCGTATTACATTATATATTGATTAACTAAATGAAGAAAAATTATTTCGAGGTAAAAAAGGCGTTTGGAAATGAATTACCACCACCATCACCATCAACATTATCATTATCATTTTTCGTGTTTTGATGATGCAAATGATAATGATCATCTGGTGTTGATTCCCATTAATCTTTTCGAATGTTTGTTTTGTTTGTTGTTTTGTTTCCAGTCAAAAATTTTTCATATTGTCAGGATTCTTATGGTTTGATCGTCAAAATCATGAAACCTCGATAAAAAGAAGAAAATCATCAATTTCACTTTCAAAACAAACTAAATATACATCACGATTATTTGATTTGAATTTGAATTTTTTTTTGATATATAATGATTGTTGTTGTTGTTATTTCACACAAACAAAAAAAAATTGATCTCCTTGAATATTGATGGAATAACAACAACAACAACAAGTGTTATCAAAGTAACAACCTGCCTATCCAATGATTGGTGCCAAATTTTACAGATCGATTCCTTATTATTATTCAACAATCAAGAGAGAGAGAGGTGTACATATCAAATCATGTCGAAAAAGGTAGATAATTTTTTTTTTTTTTTTGATATGAGAAAAAATGAAATGAAATGATAATTTGATTGAATGATTGATCGATCGATCGTTTGTAACCAATGGAAAAGTTTTTACCACGATTAAAATCTTGATGATGGAAAAAAAGTAAAAGTTTTTTTTTCATGTGTGAATCGCTCGATTTATTCAAAGAATTATCGTAAACAAAAAAAATTAATCCTTTTGTTTTGATTTGTCACCATCATAATCATCATTGATTACCAAGATCAAGATGTTTTTCTTTTCGCAGAAAAAACCAAAACATTTAATCCGATCAAATTATATCATCAATGAGAAGAAAAGAAAAGAACCTACTGTGCTCATAATTCTCGATTCTTTTTTTTTTGTTGGTCGACTATTTTGACCACTGTTGCTGTTGTTTTTTGAATTCAATTTTGACCAAATTTTTCGGTCCACTTGATTCTTTTCAATTTCATTCAATTTTTTTTCTGGTTATAAATACAGTGAACAAAAATCAACAAACAAAACCAAGTGAAGAGAGAGAGAGAACTAACACTCAGTTGTCTTCACAGTGTCCAAAAAAAAAAAAAATTCAACAAGTTTTTTTCTTTCGACCATGTCTTCTTTCTAGCTATTTTAAAGGTAAAGGTAACAAGCAAAAAAAAATCATTAAAATACGTAAAAGTAATAAGCCTGACGCCTCAGGGTCAATCACAAGGCGACCAATCGTCCGTCCATTTTTTTTTGAACAAAAAATAAAAAACAAACTGAAAATGTGATTGGTTTTTGAATGACGACAGGTCTTCTTCGTCGTTGTCTTCCTACCTACCTACCTATCTACCCCTCGGGTTCTTCATCATCATCATCATCAATAGACGACACATAGGTAAATTGGTAAGGTAATGCTTGCTGTTATGCTTGTTTCGTTTAGAGATTTTTCTTCTTCTTTTCTCTCGATGATAAAATAAATGTTGATGTATGTTGAATGTCTTCACCGTCAGGTTTTCTTCTTTTTTTTTACCTAGGTCTTTTTATTTCAATTTTTTATTTATTTATTTTTTGTTTATTTACCTTTGTGTTACCTGTATATTTACCTTAAACACACACATTAAACATACAAAGAGAGAGAAAAGGCAACAGGTAACCAGGTATAAAACGTGAATTCAAACTGTGAAGACTTAACAACGATAACAACAACAAAACAAATTGAAAATGAACGCGTCAGCCTTTTCGATTCGAATAATGATAATAATGGCCAAAAGAAAAAGAAAAAAGATTTACAGAATTTTATTGGGAAATTTCAGTTTTTTTTCTTCAATTTCTTTGGAAATTTTTTTTTCAGTTTAAAATGATGTTTAATGATCAACGAGAAAAAAATCAATTTGATGATGATCAAATCCATAGGAGATTTTTCCTTTTTTCGATGATAATCGTTCCAAATTCTCATCATCGACTATTTACACCTGGAATGTTTTTTTTCGTGTTTGAATGACAAAAAAAATCAATTATCAATATTTGCAACAAAAAAATAACCGGAAAAATTTCCAAAACATCATCACTAAATGAATGAATGAATGACAGAAGTTTTTTTTCTTCAAATCAAATATTTAACCTAACTTGACCTGAAAAACATCTAACACCCTTGATGATTAGGTGGATTTTTTTTTTGAAAAATGCAATTTTTCCTTTAACAAGCTACCAGTTCTGGCAGTTGAAAAGTTTAGGGAAGAAAACAAGAATTTTTTTTTCACCCTTTTAATCCGGATATTTATTACCGAAATATATAGAAAATCTCACACACAATTCATGATTGCGAATTCAATTTCAAAAGAAAATCTTCAAAAAAGATCAAGAGATGGAAAAAAAGGAGGGATTGAATTCAATCAATTTAGAATAATTTATTACACATCGGCTATTTTGACATATGAACATCGTTTTAAAAAAAATTACAATCCATTAAAATCTTTTTTTCTGTTTGTTTTTGCTTCCAAACAAACAAACAAGAATTAATCATAATGAATTTGTTAATCAAATTGATGTTCACCACCACCACCACCACCATTACACGATGATAATTGCTTAATTTCATTTCACTTACTTAACGATAAATTTTGAATGCAAAAAAACAATGGTAAAAATGAATAATTCATTTTAGTTGACCATCATTGTTTTTTCAAAAACAAAATGGGTGACAACAAAATGATTTACATTTAAAATTGAAAAAAAAACAAAACACCGTCATCATTTTGGCAAAATTCAATTTCAATATAAAAAATGAATCTTTTTTGTTTGTTTGATGAATTTTTTGACGAAAACAAAAAAAAACCATTCAAAAGTTTGATTGATTAGGATCTAAATATGTGTTAAATGGAAAGATCATCCTCATCATCATCATCATGTCATGATTTGATTTTAAAGAACTTTGAAGAAAAAAACACATATCAAATTCGGTATCTGATAATCATCATCATCATCATCATCGTTAGCCATCATCAACATCAAGTTTTTTTTTCGCGAAAAAAAATGATGATTATAATCGCTTATTAAATTGAAATTTTTTTTTCACTTTACTTCACTTCTTCATCACCATCATCTTCAAACTTTTTGAAAAAACACTCAAACGTAAACAAGGTGATTTTAAAGTAAAAGAATCCTCATCATCAGAATATCTGATCATTTTTGATTATAAGGGGGTCATTATCATTACCATCATGATGATCATCACACTTGAAATTGATGAGGATGCCACTCCTGGAAAAATATAGCTATTTCTACTCATCCTGCACTACTCAATCGTTCGAATCGTTCGAAAATTCGCAGGATCGGTTTTTTTCGTTCGAAACATCTTTTCTTTTCGTAATAAAAGATGAATATTTGTTTATCTTTATCAGGGCTGATCAGATCAACAAAAAGACATGAAAGATGTGTGATTATTATCATCATCATCATCATCTTTATCCAAACAATAATTAATCCAAACAACTTTTTTGTTTGTTTGTTTGTGTTGGTTGATTGGTTGTTGATGGTGGTACTCACTTTCATCATCATCATCATCTTCACACAAAAAAAAAATTCTCGCCTTTTGCCCTGAAATGTCCGGATATCTTTTTTTTTTGATGATCATCGAAGAAAACGAAAGAAGAAAATTATTATTCGTGATCAAATGGCCACGGTCAAACGATCATCGATCTTGTTGTTGTTGTTGTTGTTATTCAATGGCTAATGATTGTTTGTTTATCTTCTTCTTCTTTACATTTTGCCCATTATCATATTCTTTCATTTATTCAACAACAACAATTATCTGTCGTTCTTGTTTGTTTGGCATTTGATTAAAATAATCTTTAAGGTGATGGTGGGTTTCTCTCTCTCTCTCTCGCTCTCCTTCTTCTCCTTGTTTGTTTTTGTTGGTGTGATAATATTAATCATCTAGGGATGCCTTCAAACTGACAACAACAGCAACAAGATGGATAATTATCATCGATGATAGAATGAAATTCTTCAGATTTGAAATCGACCAAAATGAAAATGATAAAAAGTGAAATTTCAATTTTTTTTTTCAAATTTCAAAATCATTTCAACTGACCCATATACAGTGGAATTTGAAAGAATTTTTGTTTGATTGTCTTTAGGCTTTTTCCCATTCGGTTACATTGTTATGTGCCCTGAATCTCTGTTTTTTGACAATCACCATTATCATCATCATAATGATAATGATGATGATTTGCCCAACTAATCATCAACAACATCTCTTCCCTATCATTTTTCTGGTTTCTTCGGTTTTAGGAAATTTGATAAATCTATTTTTTTTTTTTTTTTTGGTTGAAATAATCATAAAGTTGTTACTTTGTCCTAATAATAATGATTATCATTTGTAGTTGTTGATGATGATGATGATGATTACCTTGATGTTGATGATAATGGTTACTTGATGATGATGATGATGATGATGATTAAAAAATTTATTTTTTGTCAATGTTTACCAAGGTAGGAAATATAAACAGGTAGATAAGGTTAGAGAAAAAAAAGGTGGGATTGACACAAACACACAACACATCCTTTTTGGTTTTGCAATGTGTGTGTGAAAATACCTGAAGATTCTTAATTATTCTATTTGTTTTTTTGTTTTTGTATTTTGTCGTCAAAATCCTAATCGTTACACAGTAGCAACATTTAATTAGGATTTTTTTTTGTTTGTTTGCAGCTTTTTACACTGGATGACGGATGATGATGATTTTTGCTTAGACATTCTTTCTAAGTAGAATTTCCTGCCTAAAAATCATTAATGATGATGATGATAGATTCATTTGATTCTCAAAGAATTTCAAAGTTTTTGCTTCCATTATTATCATTGGTTGGATGTTTTTCTCTGATGCAATCAAGTATTGAGTGTCAATTTTCAGATGCATTTTATATAGTCGGTTCAGGAACAAAAATCCTATTGGTTGTTGGTCGAAGTGTTAGATTCAAATGTGCCCATTCTACCATATAGCATAAATGCATTTCATTTTAGATCCACACACATACACAGAAGCAAACTATATCCATTAAAAACACTGTTGGTTTTGTTTATTGGAACAATCAATAACATCAGATGTATTGTGTGTGTGTGAGAGTGTTAAATGAAATAAGCCCACAAAATGGGCATGTACCGTATTTGGTTTCTGGAACGATTGCGCAAAAAATCATTTAATGCATAATGTTTGGTAATAGAATTTAACACTTATTTCTTTTTTCGAGACAAAACAAACACATCCATTGTCCACATTTGATAATCATTGATGCATAAAGTAAATTTTGTTGTAGTTGTTATTGTTGATATTAGGTTTCATTCGATTTTTTTTTATTGTTTGGTTATTGTGAATCGATCTGAAATCTAATGGATTTAAAAGGTTATTCGTAACAATTTTTTTCAGTTGTTTATAAAAAAAGATTCATTGAATCGAATAATTTCCATTAAAATTTGTTTTTTTTTGTGTCATAAAGTGTTAATTCATCAAAAGAATTGATTGGGAGAATGGCAGTTTACGAGACAAAATTTTCTAAATTCCTTTTCAAATTTTGTTCTTTCTGTCTTGTTGATTATCAATTATTATTATTATTTCTGCTTGTTATTGATAACAACAACAAACCATCATCAATTAACAAGCAAAGAAATCAATCAATGGTCAATATTAGGATTTATCATTGCAGAACCTAATCAATTAGGATTCATTGAAAATGAGAAGAAAATTTCCATTTTATGATGATGTTGCGGTTTTTTTTTTGTTGTTGTTTGGTTTGGTTTTTGGATATCAAAAAAGATAACAACAAATTTATTATCATGTTTTTTCTTTCTATTAAACACTGATGATCAGTTCGGTTAATGATAAAAGATTTTTTTTAAAAACATTTCAAAATTGAAAATGTATGACAAATGATGATGACATTATCATCGATTGCAAAGACCACCAATCATCATTAAGGAGAGAGAGAGAGAGAGAGAGAGAGAGAGAGAGAGAGAGAGATTTATTGAAATCAATTAAAAGTACTTTAATTAGAGAAAAATTTAAAAAAAAACTTTAACAACACTGCATTGATCTTCGGGTGTTGATTATGAATATGATGATGATATTCAAATGTCATTTGGAAATGTTTATTTACTTCGTCCATTTAAAATTATGAAGAAGAAAAAAAAAATTATGGCGCCGCATCAATTGATGATGATGTTCAAACATATTTTTATCTATCTATATCTCAAAATATATATTTCGCAAAGTAACCAATTTTTTTCAGCCAAAACAAGCCATTTTTTCTTTTTCTAATTCGATGCCAGAATGCAAAAATGAAAAAAGTGTCTGGCTCTGTTCATCAACAGCAAAATGAAAAAAACACTCATTTTTTGGTTGGACAACTAAAAAAAATATGATTATGTTTGTCGTCAATGTGTTTTAATCATACAAAATAGCGATAGAGAGCAAAAATTCATTTACGAATCAAGCAATGCAATTTGATAATCTTTTTTCTTTCGTATGATACTTTGCCCTTTTTTAGCTTTTGGCTTGTTTTGTTCATAATCATTTTCTTCATCATATAAATGTTTATTTTGGTTTTTGTTTGGTTTGGTTGATTGGTTAGTGTGTGTGTGCCATGTTGAATGTCTCGATAATTCGTTTAGGTTTTCATAATCATAATCATCATAACCACCATAACTTACCCAATGATTATGATGTAAATGTTTCTCTCACTTCTCTGACAAATCCATTTACAAATTTTTTGTTTTGGTTTTGGTTTTTTTTGGAAATCCATATGAATCATCACAAGAGAAAGATCAACGAAAGGTCAGGTTTTTTTTCTATATAAACTTTTGCAAAACCGGACCGGAAATCTTTTCAAATCTCGATAAAAAAAACCTCTGTTGGTGATTTTTGATTTTTTTTTGAATGGAAAAACTTTCCAGGAAAAAAAGCATCTTTTGGAATTGAAAAAATCAAATAAAAAAAACAACCAAATTGAATTCAATCATTCAGGATAGGTGCAAAATAAAAAGCAAAATAATGATCAGAATAAACAACAGGAGAAAGGCTTTCAATCAAAAAAATTTATCCATCTTTGTTTGTTATTTTGATCGGATTTTCATTTTTGTTTTTTTTTCACTTGCTTTTTGTTGTTATTGATAACAATTTTCACACAGAATCATGAATGAATGAATGAATGAATGGGGCAAACAAACAAATATAAAAAATTTGTTTATTTGTCGAATTTATTAAAACGAAAAAAGTTTTTTTGAAAATCGGATTTGCAATCGGATGAACGATATATTTTTTGGATGATGAAAATAATGAATATTTTTTTTTGTTCTTCATTGAAAATACCGACAATAAATTCAACCAGATTCGATATGTTTGTTTCTTGTGTTTAATCCTTCCATTCCTCGACTGTTTAGAAGGAAAAATAATAACAAAGAATTCCTCGTTTTGAGTTGTTCTTTTCTCCAAAACTAATTTACATTCGATTTTTTATTCTTATTAGTTTTTTTCCCCGAATTCCAATTGGATCACTAATGAATTGTTTTTTTTGTTTCTTTCTTCTTTTCGTCTATTTTTAGGCAAACAAAATGGCATCAATGGCAGCTGCCGCATCACATCATCATCATCATCATCATCATACGGCAACTGGTTCACCATTATCACCATTCGCATCAATGATGCCAACAACACATTCGCATCAAAATCAAATTGATGCGGCTACTGCTGCAGCGGCGGCAGCCGCAGCAGCCGCTGCTGCTGCTGCATCAAGACATTTACCACAACCACCACCAGCACATATGGGTATACCACCTGTTCATATTGAAACAAAAGCTGTTAGTATTTCAGCATGGATGGATTTTGATTTATGTAAGTTTATTGTTTAATTTTTCTGATTCCGTTTCTAGACATATCAAAAAACATTTTTATCACTTTTTTTCACCAAGTTTTTCTACATTGTAACAACATTTGAGAAAAAAGAAATAGGATTTTTTTTTTTGGTTTGTTTGTTTACCAATTTCGTTATCATTATGATGATGTTTGGTTATGATTTTCATCATCATATGATCGTCTGGAGTGAACGAGAAAAAAAATCCAATTCTGACCAAATCAACATTTATAATGAAATCAAACATCTTGATTCTTCGAAAGTTATCAAGTAGTAACGAAAAACAAAATTATTAGCTTATCATCATCATCATCATCGTGGTTTTGATGTTATTTTTTTTCGTTCGTTGTTGCACAAAAAGAAAAAGATTCAAAGTTCAGAAAATATTACATTTCATTTTCGATTTTCTCTTCTTTTCATCGTCATTCGCGTTGTTATTTTTGTTTATAACAAGGAATTTCTAAACGATCAAATCAAAACAAGAAAAAGAAATGAAAAACATTTCTGGTTAGCTCTCTTTACTGTATAACAGTGTGTTTAGTAAGGAATTTTTTTTTTATCCCAAAACCAAAGAAAGAATTCATTGACCAGATGATGGTGGTGGTGGTGAATTAGCTGGTTTTCACAAGTTTCGATTGAATGTTTTTTGCATGTTTGATGAGGATGATCATTACACTTATTGAACATAACCATCATTGACGCCATTGATCTTGAATCAAATCGATTCTTGATCATTGTTTTTGTTGTTGTTATTATCAATAACAATGTTTTTTTTAAGGATTTTCTTCAAACACAAGATTTTTTTTTATGGATGTTTAAATAGATTTCTCTCTCTCTATTCGCTTGTTTCGTTCATTCATTCATTCATTCATTCGATCATTGTTGATGTTTTTTCTCAATTCAAAATGAACATTGAGAGTTTTGGTTTTTCTTTCAAAAATTCTCCTTTTCAACAAAAAAAAAATCCTAAACAAATTTTCAGGTTCAAGAACCAATCACGTAAACAAAACTAAAGCTGAGAAATCAAAAAAAACTCTCAGGGAGATTGAAGGAATTGGAAAAAAAGAGAAGAAAAAAACATTCAAAAATGATTCGATCTTTCGAAAAAAAACCCTATAGATAGCAATGATGCTTGCTCGTTTTTGCTTCGTTTCTCCATTTAACCATTTTTGACATTTTAAAGAATTTTATTTATGATATTTTTTTTAAAAAAATCAAAGTAAATTGAGAAAAACAAAAATTACGAAAATTAGCATCTTATTTCAAATTCATAGAATTTTCTCCTGTAAACTAGCTAGCCAGCCAAACTTGTAAACTGTCCAATATCCAATATGAAATATTTGTGTGAAAATTATTATTATGGTTATTGGTTTTTTTCTTCTGGGTATCTTAAATGAAAGAAATGATGATGTTTGTATTGCGTGTATTTTGTAATGTCTAGTTTTTTGTTTTTCACTTGTTAATTTTCGAAAAAAATTTATAATTTTTTTTTTCAAATTCAAATTTAGCCAATATTGCTCGAAATCATTCATTATATAATCTATCTGGACATGGACAATATTCACATTCGGTTCTTTCGGATTTAACACAACAATTACCATGGTTTGTTTGTTTTTTTTTTGATTTTTGTTTTCAAATTTGTTAATTGAAATTCCTTTTCAATTTCCTAATAGGCCAAATCCTGCAATGTATCATCAACTGCAATCGGCTGCATTTCGTAGTCCATATCCATTAAGTTCAGTTTCAACAGCTACATTTCCAAGTTTTGCTGTACGAACACCACCAATTATGCCACCACATCCTGCTTCATTGTCTGGTCATCATCATCATCCGCATCCACATCATCCACATCATTCACATCATCCAACATTTCCAACGCATCCGAGCTTTTTACAAACAAGTATGTTATTTTAATTACAATTACAAAAGTTTTAATTACAAACAATATTTCCTAATAGCATCCAATAATATTCAACCAAATAATGATAATTTGACAACGCCAACACCATCGACATTAAATGGTTCGACAAACAATAAATCAACAAATCGTAATAACACAGGTAAAACATCGAATGGTTTTCCATTTTTTCATGGAATCAATAATAATAATAATAATGGTAATTCATTATCATCATCTTCGTCTACTTCATCATCTTCATCATCATCATCGATATCACCAACATTAGCCAATAACACCAACATTCATAATAATAGAATGTCATTATCAATCAATGAAAATAATGTTAATAATAATCGCCATAATCGTCATCATCATCATAATCAAATTATAACGGATAATGGACATCATTTTAATAATAATAAATTAATTGGTAATGGTCAATCACAATGCAATGTTAATGGAAATATTGGTTCCAAATTAGTCAATAATAATAGTAAAAATTCTCAATCATTGAATGGTGTTGGTGGTGGTGGTAATGGTCAAACATCATTACAGCTACAGCAGCAACAACAACAAGAACAAGAAGAAAGAGAACGTGAACAAAAAATGCATATTAAAAAACCATTGAATGCATTTATGATCTATATGAAAGAAATGCGTTCCAAAGTAATTGCCGAATCAACATTGAAAGAAAGTGCTGCAATCAATCAGATTTTAGGCAAAAAAGTAATGTTTTTTTTTCTGTTTGTAAATTCAATCTATTTTTTATTGACAATTTTTCTTCTTTTTAATTCGGATTACAGTGGCAAGATTTAAGCCGTGAAGAACAGGCAAAATATTATGATAAAGCACGTAAAGAAAGGTATGCTTTTATTTTTTTTCCCAAAAGAAAAAAAAAATTCCAAATATTAATTTGAAATTTTTCCACCCATACAGAGAATTACATATGAAATTACATCCAGGATGGACAGCTAAAGATAATTATGCAATCAATGGTAAACGAAAAAAGAAAAAACGTGAACGTAATGCCGATGGAGGTATGCGTTATTTGATTTGAAATTCTTTACATTTTTTTTTACATTTCTTTTTCGATTTCAAATCTAGAACGTGGAGCATTGAAAAAATGTCGAGCTAGATATGGTCTCGATCAACAAAATCATTGGTGTAAACCATGCAGGTATGTTTTTTATGGTTATTTGTCTGGTCAGCATTTAAAAATTTTCAATTTTTTTAGGAGGAAAAAGAAATGTATACGATATCTTGAAGCAGCAAGAGCAGCAGCAGCTGCTGCTGCAATAGCAGCCGCATCCACAAATGGCAATACATCACGTTCAGATACAAACGAATCGGATAATTTCGGTAGTATCAGTAGTGTTGAAGCACCAACGCCCGAATCAAAAACGACCAATGAAAGTGATCATCTACCATCACCATTATATTATCCATCATCTGTTCATACACATCATATGTATCCAAATTCTGTTGCAACAGTTACATCATCATCATCATTATCATCACCAATAGGATCTCGAATGTCATCATTATTGACACCAAATTCACCATTAACAACATATACATCATCGGGTATTGGTAGTAGTAGTAGTAGTTTATCATCAGCTTCATCAACAACATCATCATTTTCATCAATAGTCACATCATCATCTTCTGGATCATCTGGATCATCATCATCAAATGTACCACCAAGGAATAGTCCATTCAGTATTGAACAATTGGCACGTCCACATTGTCCACAAAGTCGATCATCATCATCATACCATAATAATAATAACAATATCAATGGATTGACTAGTAGTAAAGCTCAAAATATTAATAATAACAATAATAATAATAATAATAATTCCGTAACAGTCGCTGTCATAACACAATTACCAACACCACCATCATCAACAGATTCGAATGCTGGAACACCAGCCATGTTATGGGTAGCATAATGACTCAAATTCACCAATCATCATTTACCACCAGCGACATGTTCATTCATCTTTTTTTCAAAAATTTCAAGAAAATAAAAAAAGAAATTTATCATCCACACACACACACACTCGCATTATCATGTTGTAAATTAAACAAAACATAACATTTTTTTTCCCCTTCGATCTTGATTTTTATCTTTTCAATGTTCTCATCATCATCAATTTCAATTCAAACATTGTTATTCGTAATTAAATGTACAAACAAAACAAAAAATATCATCAATTAAAATTCAATTATCAATTATTATTATTATCTGATAAAATAATAATAAAAATAGTGAAGAACAAAAGTTTTGAAATTATCAAAGTATTATTTATTTGTTTATTTTGATTTCGATTACATTTTCCTTGTTGTTTTTTATTGCATCTGCAGGATTTCAATTTAGGTAAATTATTATCATATCAAGCATTTTGTTTACATTGAAATCATTAAGAATGAGAAAGAAAAAAAAATTACTCCTATAAGTAAGGTGAGAATGAGAGAGAGAGAGAGAGAGAGAGAGAGAGAGAGAGAGAGAGAAAAAAAATTGAGAAATAATCAAATTAAAATATGATCCGAATATTTTGAAATTAGAGAGGACACAGTTTAGTCAATGAGATACTTATTATAGAAAAAAAGTCTTGTCTTTCTTTTGTCATCAATTAATTAAACACAAGATAGAAAAAAAACCCTAGAATTTAAAGGTAAATATAAATGTTTGTTTATGTGTGTGTATGTTTGAATTTGAAGAATTCATTAATTGAATATTTACATTAAAAAAATTGAAAAAGAAAAAAAAAGTAATGATGAAAATTTATCTACAAAGAGGTGAAAGAGAGGATACAGATCGAAATTTGTTATTATTTAAATATCATATCCTGTTGCTGTTAGCTATGATGGTGGGCACATTTGTGTATGGACCAATATAGCAGATATTTTGAGCAAAATTTGACTACAGCATTTTTTTTTTGTGAATTTGAAATATAATCACACAGTTTTTTTTCTATAATTTTAAAAACATTAAAATGATGTGAATGAGTTCCATAACTAAAATGAATTTTGGTTCATGAGTGAATTTGAAATGAATAGAATTTTTCTTTCGAATGAATAATATAAATCAAGTTTCATCGGTAGCCATCATCATCGATTCATCGTTTATTGATGGCATCATTAGATTTGTAGCCGATTCTGGTGATTGTACCATTTTCATCACATCTTGATTATCTTTGTCCGTAGATAATTCATTCGAACTCGTGCCACTATTTGATTCATTCATCATGACCAATGATTGTTCGTTATCGACCATCATTCGCATATCTTGAGATCTATTTGAGACCGAAATCTCATCATTAGTATCATCGTCGACAAAACTTTCCGCTTCGTAATCGACATTTTGAATTTCATCTTCATCTGAATCATCATTGCTATCCGAATCAAATGCTTCATTCAATTCGGCACCCTTGAATATATATCGTGATGGAGCAATGAACTCATATTCTTTTGATTGCTGGCTGTTAATATCAACGTTATCGCTAGAAATTTCTTGATTTGACATTTCATTCAATTTTTCCATATTGCCATTTGGATTCTGACCATAACAATATTTGGCCCAATTTTCGCCAAGTCTATAATGAAGAATACAATATATAAAAGAAACAATAAAAGATAAGAATAACTTACCGTTTACAAAGATATCTGATGATAATGTCACAATCGCCTAATAATTCTACATCAAAATTCAAATGATTTAATGGTTCGCGATTAATTAAAATCTGTGGTATATTTTCCGGTATAGAACTAGGTATTAATGCTACTGGACGAACTTTCAACGACGATCCAATGACGATCAATAAATCGCATTGATCTTTATCGATTGTCATTGAATTATGAAATTCATCGGAAAGACCTTCGCCAAAGAAAACAATATCAGGTTTCATTACGGGTAAATTTTGGCCAGATCCAACGGAACTAGTAACGCCATCTGGTTGGCTATTATTGTCTTCATTATTGAATAATGATGATGATAATTGTGACGGTAACTGATGATGATAATGATGTGATTGTTGATGAATATTTTGTAATGTATTATTATTATTATTTTTTGGTGCACAATGCGGACAAAGAGGTATGTGTTGAGCAAAAATATCATCTCGGATGGCATTCGAATCGCAACGATATCCACACATAGTACAGGTGGCCGTAGCAAATGATCCATGACATGTAATTACATTCTTGATTCCAGCTGTCTGTTCAAGTGTATCGATATTTTGCGAATAATTTCGAAGTAAACGACCTTCAACTTCAAGATATTTGATAAATTTATGTGATGGTGATGGTTGAAATTGTCCGGGATATATTTCCTATTATAAACGGGCAATCAAATAACGATTAATCTAATTCTAGAGATTAAATTGACTTTTTTTAAAAATATTTACCTTAGCAAATTTAAAAAATGGACAAGGATTCTTTTTGAAATAATGAATATCAAACATTGATTGTGGATCAGGAAGATCGGGATAATCTTTACTGAGACGTGCATAAACACCATTACGTGAACGAAAATCTGGTATACCACACGAAACGGATACACCGGCACCGGTCAATACAATAATTTTTTTCGAATTTTGTATCAAATCAATTACATCATCAATAGTATTGATATAGTCTAATTTAGGTCGAACAGATGGTTCGGATAGCATACGAATAAGTAGACGCCATGCATAAACATTATCAATTTCGCCTATTAATTCACTTCCAGTTAAATGTTCAATTATTTCTTTTGGATTTGATCCATTCGCTATTTGACGTTGTATCCATTCGATATTTTTATTTATTGGTTTCCAATCTTCACCGCTTAAATTGGAAAGATCACTTGCATAGGAAAATTCACTAATGCTATCATTATCATCATCATCATCATCATCATCGTCATCATCATCATCATTATCAATTTCATCATTATTCTGATAACTATTCGATGATGATTGATATATTCGTTGTTGTTGTCGTTTAATTATAATATCCATGTTATCACTATCAGGCGATTCTCCAGCAACCGATGCCGATTTATTTGTCATTGTCATTTGATTTCTGGATATGAGATTTGTCGTATTATTTTCACCACCGTTCATTGATATTGCATCATCCATCTTATCATTTAAATTATTATTATTATTATTATTATTTACAATATTTTTATCATCTGAACCAGCGGATATACAATCATCGGGTATCTGTAGTTCCTGAAAACCAGAATCACCATTGCTCATAAGTTCATTATCGCTATTCGATGTTGATACTATTTAATTAAATAAAGACAAAATTAAAAAAAAATTGTCATCATTGAAACACGCGCGCCAAAACAAAAAATCCAAATTTGAAAATTAATTTACATATTAGCCCCACCCACTAACTTTGAACATGCGCAACAAAAAAAATGAAAATAAAAAAGAGAAAACTCACCCGTCACAGTCGTATACGGTGGTGAGGAAAAAAGATGGCGGCTACGGCTACAACAGCTATCGTCATCGATGGCAGCACTGATCCTGCTATTACAGCTATCGTATTCGTCGGCGCTGTTTTTATCTCGACCTTCAACAAAGGCGGTGGTTTTATCGATATCAGCAGCGGTGGCAGCAGCTGCAACAACGTCGACTGTATAATTCGTAGCGGTGGCAGCAGCGTTGTTCTTCGTCGCCCTCGTCGATGTAACTACGCAGCAATTAGATTGCTCACGACGTAGTCGCTTTGTTGTTGGCACAAATGGCTCAAAAATTTGGCCCGTTGAAAAATCGTTTTTAAATGATATATCTATATCATCATTATTCCAGGATGTGGATATTGGTTCCGTTATTATGGAACGGAAACGTTTAGATTTTGAGGAACAATGATGAATATCATCATCATGATCATTATAATGGCTATGTTGATGTTGATGATGATGTCTATTGGCAATAGGTATTGAAAACGATGATGATGACGAAGAATTCTTCGGCGACGACGACGACGAGGACGACATCATTCGACTATGATTGAATTGGAGAAAAAAAACTCACACACACAAAGTTTTGGCTCTAAAAAAAAAACTTACTCACACACTCAAACAACAGCAACGGGTATACATAGAAAACACACAGCAAAAAAAAAAAAAAAAATTTTCTTTCGTTCGTTCTTTTTGTAGTTTTTGTTTGGAAATATATACAACAACAAAAAAAAAAATATATGCGGAGGTTGTTTTACAAACACACAAAGATTGGTCGTATATATACGAAAATGTTATATTCAGGTTTTTATTGAATCAAGTTTTGTTTGTTAAATTTATAGCTGCAGCAGCAGCTCATATACAATCAATATTATACAAAAAATAAAACACTCCCTCAAATAATATGGCCATACCATTACGACGACGACGATGATGATAAAATTGTTGAATGGCGCGCTTTGTCAAATAATAGTGAGTCATTTTTTCTTTGAAAAAAGACTTACCCACATTTTTTTTTTGTTAATTCTTTTCATTCATATTTTTTTATCTTTGGACGCATGCGTATCCGGAATTTTTTTTTTTTTTTTTTTTTTTTTTAAAAAAAAAAAAAAAAAATTCAAAAAAAACATCGGTTTTTTTTTAAATTTTAATAAATTTAAAA